TTTACTTTGACCAGAGAGAGACAGAGAAAGAGGGAAAGTGAGAAAGCAAGCTGCCAGGTCCAGAACTCAAACCATGGTTGGCCATGAAGGATTCCAGTGCCTCAGTCACTGAGCCACCTGCCAGCGGCCCCTCCCTAAGAGGATTCTGGAACTGTGATCTACCTCCACCCACCCCCAGCCAGCCCAGCTAATGGGCACATTTGTGCCCCAGTGTAGTCAGGGAGGTCTCCAGAGCTGGCCCAGTAACCTACTGTGGGTCCGCATTGCAGAGTATCCCATTTGACCATTGCACTGCCACCCAGCCCCCAGGGAGACTTTATCAGGGCAGATCTGTTCTGCCTTGCTTTCCCTCTAGCTGACTCTTCCATAGCATAGTTTTCCTAAGAATTCACCCCTATACTGATACTGGGGTGAGGCTCCCAGGGTGGCTTTCTCAGTGTCCAGATAGCTTCAGGCAGAAGTGCACTGGAGCAGAGAGATGACCTGATAGGCACACACCCAAGTCTGGATTACCTGATCTCCCCAGGCTGTCTCATGCTCTGAGGACGTACTGAGCTCTGTGTCTAGTGACTGTTCCCTGTGCTACTTCCTGAGTGTAATTTAAAAGATTCCTGGTGGTGAGCGTAGGGAGTAGTTTAGACGGAACCTGAAGTTACTGGTATGTAATACTTCTAAGTGGTATGTACTCTCAGCAGTGTTCCAGGAGGACACTGTAGTAGGGTAGTTGCAGAGAGATCCCGGGAAATAATGTTTCCATGCCTGGCTGGAGTAGTCACCTGTGGTCATGAGGTCGCAGCATTTTAGAGCTTTAAAAAGAGCTAAAGGGCCGGCAGGTAACGTGGTGGTTAAGAGCACTGGATTCCCACATGGCTGACTGCGGTTCGAGTCCCGGGTCGGGTGGCTTGCTTTCTCATTTTCCCTTTCTCTCTCTCTATCTGTCTCATCAAATTAAAAAATAATAATAATAACAAAATGGAATTAAATAAATAATTCTTTTTTTGAAAAAAAAAGAAAGAGCTAAGATCAGGAGGAAGAACTGGGGAACTCCTGGCCTCTCCCATTATTCAGGAAACAAAAGAAAGACTTTGAGAAGAGCCATGGCAAAGTGAGTTTTCATTTCAGTGGCTTTGAAGTACCCAGAAATCGTTGGAATGAACCAAAATGGGAGAATAGGAAGAATAAATTAATTGAGAAATCTGTAAGCCACAGGAGCTCTGCGGCACTCAAAACTGGAACCCCCAGTGACAACCAGAAAAATCTCTGTGAAGTTATTCAGGTTAAGTCTGCCACTCAAGGCTTAGTTGTTAGTAATTCACTCTCCAGAGTACTACATTAAATATTTAGATACTACTTCTTTAAAGTGTTTTTTAACTAACCATCTCTTTAAATATTGGGTAAGTTATAATGTTGCTATAGTAAAGCCCAGTGGGGTATTTTTAAAGAATGATCTTATTTAACTTTATTTGGTATTATTATTATTTTCCAGTTTGATTAGAGAGAGACAGAGAAAGAGAGAAAGTGAGAAAACAAGCCCCCAGGTCCAGGACTTGAACTGTGGTCAACTATGTGGGAGTCCAGCGTCCCAACCACCACGCCACCTGCCGGCCCCAAGCCCAGTGTTCTCTAAGCGCAGTCTCTGCTGCCCCATATCCAGATCATGGGTGTAATGGCTGATGGAGTAAGACTGTCCAGTGGGCAATAGCACCTAAACCACCACACCACATGCCAGCCCCAGGACTCCTTTTTTTCAATGCTTATTTATTCTGTGAGCATGAGAGAGAGAGAGAGAGCCTCCTCGACAGATTTTTTTTTTTAAAGAATTATTTATTCCTTTTACTTTGACCAGAGAGAGACAGAGAAAGAGGGAAAGTGAGAAAGCAAGCTGCCAGGTCCAGAACTCAAACCATGGTTGGCCATGAAGGATTCCAGTGCCTCAGTCACTGAGCCACCTGCCAGCGGCCCCTCCCTAAGAGGATTCTGGAACTGTGATCTACCTCCACCCACCCCCAGCCAGCCCAGCTAATGGGCACATTTGTGCCCCAGTGTAGTCAGGGAGGTCTCCAGAGCTGGCCCAGTAACCTACTGTGGGTCCGCATTGCAGAGTATCCCATTTGACCATTGCACTGCCACCCAGCCCCCAGGGAGACTTTATCAGGGCAGATCTGTTCTGCCTTGCTTTCCCTCTAGCTGACTCTTCCATAGCATAGTTTTCCTAAGAATTCACCCCTATACTGATACTGGGGTGAGGCTCCCAGGGTGGCTTTCTCAGTGTCCAGATAGCTTCAGGCAGAAGTGCACTGGAGCAGAGAGATGACCTGATAGGCACACACCCAAGTCTGGATTACCTGATCTCCCCAGGCTGTCTCATGCTCTGAGGACGTACTGAGCTCTGTGTCTAGTGACTGTTCCCTGTGCTACTTCCTGAGTGTAATTTAAAAGATTCCTGGTGGTGAGCGTAGGGAGTAGTTTAGACGGAACCTGAAGTTACTGGTATGTAATACTTCTAAGTGGTATGTACTCTCAGCAGTGTTCCAGGAGGACACTGTAGTAGGGTAGTTGCAGAGAGATCCCGGGAAATAATGTTTCCATGCCTGGCTGGAGTAGTCACCTGTGGTCATGAGGTCGCAGCATTTTAGAGCTTTAAAAAGAGCTAAAGGGCCGGCAGGTAACGTGGTGGTTAAGAGCACCTGATTCCCACATGGCTGACTGCGGTTCGAGTCCCGGGTCGGGTGGCTTGCTTTCTCATTTTCCCTTTCTCTCTCTCTATCTGTCTCATCAAATTAAAAAATAATAATAATAACAAAATGGAATTAAATAAATAATTCTTTTTTTGAAAAAAAAAGAAAGAGCTAAGATCAGGAGGAAGAACTGGGGAACTCCTGGCCTCTCCCATTATTCAGGAAACAAAAGAAAGACTTTGAGAAGAGCCATGGCAAAGTGAGTTTTCATTTCAGTGGCTTTGAAGTACCCAGAAATCGTTGGAATGAACCAAAATGGGAGAATAGGAAGAATAAATTAAGTGATAAATCTGTAAGCCACAGGAGCTCTGCGGCACTCAAAACTGGAACCCCCAGTGACAACCAGAAAAATCTCTGTGAAGTTATTCAGGTTAAGTCTGCCACTCAAGGCTTAGTTGTTAGTAATTCACTCTCCAGAGTACTACATTAAATATTTAGATACTACTTCTTTAAAGTGTTTTTTAACTAACCATCTCTTTAAATATTGGGTAAGTTATAATGTTGCTATAGTAAAGCCCAGTGGGGTATTTTTAAAGAATGATCTTATTTAACTTTATTTGGTATTATTATTATTTTCCAGTTTGATTAGAGAGAGACAGAGAAAGAGAGAAAGTGAGAAAACAAGCCCCCAGGTCCAGGACTTGAACTGTGGTCAACTATGTGGGAGTCCAGCGTCCCAACCACCACGCCACCTGCCGGCCCCAAGCCCAGTGTTCTCTAAGCGCAGTCTCTGCTGCCCCATATCCAGATCATGGGTGTAATGGCTGATGGAGTAAGACTGTCCAGTGGGCAATAGCACCTACTTCCCATACCCTGCTCTTCTGCCACTTGTTCCCCACCAGTTTGTCTTCCCATGGTAGCCAGAGTCACTTTCCTCACATACGGACTAATCACGCCGCTTCACTGGAAAGTCTTTCATTGGCCCCGTGAACTGGAGAATAGAGTGTGCCCTTCCTCGCACGCACGGGCGCTGTGCCTGACTCGCTCCCTCTGCCTCTCCAGTCTTAGCTCCTGCGCCCCTGTATTCTAGCCATTTGGAATCACGTCCAGTTCCCCAAACATGCCATGCCCTTTATGCCTTTAACTTTGCTGGACTGCTCCCCGCAGTGTGCTCCCCAGCTGGGAGAACAACTCAGGCACCAACTCTCTGGGCAGCCTTTCCTGCTTCCCACCAGCTGCCCCGCCTCGGGGTTCTCACATCGTCTTTTGTACATGGGGTCTCTTGTCTCCTCTCCCCCAAGACTGCATCTTATTATCGGCTTCCCAGGTTCTTGCTATGGAGTACATGCTCAGTAAGTACTGGCTGAACAGACTGATGACTGAGTGACTACGCGTGAGTGAGCAAATTTGGCCTATTATGGGAGCTGTAAGTGACCATCGCTGGCCAGTTAACAGCTGGAGCCAGTGATAACAGATGTCCTGTGGTTGTTAAAATTTAGTTATTTTTTGTCAAAATTACCCCATGTACTCTTCTGAATATAAGATTTCACTTTCACGTTAGAAATAAAGAAGAACGTAGCAGTTTTTCAGTGAAGCAAAGTAGCCTAGAGATAGATGTGAAATAAGTAAATGTCTATCCATCGATGATATCTGTATCTAGTGGCTCGTCAGGCAAGTCATGTGTATTTTTCTATGTTTTTCTGTGCAAAAGTGCTTCATTGCTTTTCCAGTAACCCACTATATCATATGCAGGTACAGGTAGATAACCCGGTGAGGTTCCTAGTAGTGTCTCAAAGGAGGCTCTGTCTCCATTCAGCCTGCGTGCTGTCACCATCACCATCACCCGGCGTATGGTCAGAACACATCCCCACTGAATCAGCATACCATCCTGCCACACGGAGCCTTTTCTTAGAAAGGTCATCAAGTCTCCTGGGATACCAAAAACATGGTGTCAGCTATATTGAAAAGTCTGAGTCTACCTGATTTATCTACACATTCATTCAACAGATATGTCCCATGTGCCTACGTGTGGCCATATGAAAACGACAGTGTGTCAGTGATCACAGCCACTCAGCGCTGGGTCTTAGTGACTGCCTCACCCTCCACCTGCCTTCTCTCCAGTGCCCCAAACTCAGTACACACAGCTCTGCTGCTGAGTCCTTTTGGCCGCTTACAGGTGATCTGTCACCCTCCATGGGTTTCCTTCCATCAAGCAAATTCTTTTAGTGGTCTTCAGTGAGGCCTGCTGCCTGGAGAGAGCTGCCGTCATGCCCATGTGGGGTGGGGAACGATTCCTAAAAAGTGTTTTATTTTGTCTTCTAGCTTACATTTTACTATGGTTCTGTGGATCCTTGGTGTCCAAAAGAGTACTACGAAGACATCAAGAAAGATTTTCCAGAAGGAGATATTCGACTCTGTGAGAAGAAATTACCTCATGCTTTTGTCTTGTCTTGTAGCCAGGAAGTGGCTGAGATGGTTGCTGACTGGCTCAAGGAAGACCTATCCAAAATATAAGTACTAACAGGGAACAGGCAAGTCCAGCCACACACTGAGGCAGTAGGTGTTACACTTAGTAGGTAAATGTTTAATTTGGGTGCAAAAAAAAAAGAGAGAGAGAGAGAGAAGCTCTTACCTTAAAGACTACCAGTCCCCAGCTGCAGGGCTGTAGGCTGAAGTAAACACAGGTGGTCAATTATTCTATAGGTTAATAAGTCCTCAGGGAACACAGTGACCTATGCAAGGTCTCTTGTTTGTAGAAGCTACCCAAAAGCACCAAATGGTTTACTTTGGTAGACAGAATCCTTGCAGACAAAAGCAATATAAACTTGAGTTACACTGAAGAATAGGTTCTCCTGAAAGAAATTATGAAATACCAACTAGAAACTGGATGGAGGTCAGTGACGGTTAAGGGGCATAGTTAAACATACAAAACATATGAGATCATGACAAGGATACACTCACATTCCAGCAGCAGGAAGCAACGAGTGGGGCATGGGAGCATCAGCCTGGGCCTCCGCTAATGACAGAGATGAAGATCAGCCCAGATGGACCTTGCATGGCTCTTGACTGAGGTCATCCCTGTGGCTTCCTGACCTAAGTGCGTTAGACAAAGAACAAATTCACCAGACATCATTGTGGCCAGATGAAGATCCCAATGATGCCTCCTGCCACAGGACAGCAGCAGGGTCCTCTTCTCCAGGGCCTGGATGGGCAGGACTGGGCCGTCCAAATCATGCCCGGGTAGGCCTGTGTGCACTTGCTCCTTGTGTGATTTACTGCGATAAAATGCTACAAAGACAAGCACTGTGCCAGCGATTGAGGATCGAATCCTTTGCTACGTCATGATTCTTTTCTTCTGTAAATTTTCTAAGTAGTAATTTCTGAAAGCGTATTTTAAATTGGTTCCATCAATTAGCTCTCCATTTCTGCATTAACTTTGTTGGAAATAATTACAAATGAAACAAAGCAAGCCATTAAGTTATATGACTTCACCTTCACTGAGGTCTGGGAGAGAAGGAACTTGTTCTCTGGACTAGTGTGGGCTAACAGTCCTGCTGCTTTCCCTAAACTGACTAATCCGGAGACCTCAGGAGCCAATAAATCCCATTGATTGTGGTGATGGTTGATGATTGATCAGAGACATTCCGTTTTCTCCTAGAGGAAATCCCTCATGGCATTATCATTCCTTCAAGACAATGAGATGTTGTCCTTCGTCTCAAAACCAAAAGCCCCTTGATGAAAGGTTCAGCTCAGCTCTGCTCCCCACCCAGTGGTGAGGGTTTGGTGAGTTATTGTCCTTTCGCATGGCTTCCACATCAGAGCCATGACCTCTCATAGGGGAACAGCCAAGCTCCAGACAAGGGCTGCTGTTAGCCCAAGGGGGAGAGCCGGGGACCCAGGGCTGCCCGCAAAGTCCTTATGGGCACCTGCATGGGGAAATCTGCTAGAAATCATGGTTCAGAATGCCTGGCATACAGGCGCTAACTCATAGCAGGTAACAAGTTCCAGATAACTCGTACCTGCTGGGGGAGAGTATCATTCACGGTTTTTCCTTCAGCTGTTATTTTACATTACTTTGTATTTCCAAAGTCTGCTTGCACAAAATTGTGTCTAATTTCAGGTTTTTAGAACTCAAAAGAGATGCTGGCTCTTAATTCCTGTTTATTATCTGAATACCAAGCACATTTTTGAAATAAATGTTTACCCACACTTAGGACCTTGTCTGGCTGAGCTGTGTATTAGAGGAGATTGGGCACAGTGCGAGCAGTCCTCCGGAGTTAGGCTGAAGCCGAAGTCTGCCTAAGAGTAAAAAAAGTCACATTCTTGTTGCTTTAAGGGAGGGAAGAAGCAGATTTCAGGAGATGTAAGTTCATTTTATTCATTAGGAATGAAATAGAAGGCTAAAATTGACCAACAGTGGAGGAAATTGTTTTCCAAAGGCAGTTCTGCTTGTATGTCGCAGTCGACCCCATGGATGGTCTTGGCCAGTGATTTGGCTTCCTAGTTTTTCTAGTGCTGAGTGAGAGAATAAGCCAGAGTCGGCACCCAGGTGGTTCCGAGTAGGCTCTGGACCACGAGAGCCTCCGAGGCAGCCCCTGTGGCTCACGTGGCCTGATGTCCAGGGCTCCCAGAGCCCATTTGCCACCTGCTTCTCGCTCATTCCTTGGAGAGCCAGAGACCTGGGAAGGCTTGATTTTCCTTTGTCCTACATGATATTAAAACAAAAATATTGGGGCCAGCAGCTGTCATGGTGGTTAAGGGCGATGGACTCCCACATGGCTGGCTGCAGTTCAAATCCTGAACCTGATGGCTTGCTTTCTCACTTTCTCTCTCTCTCTCTCTCTCTCTCTCTCTCTCTCTCTCTCTCTCTCTCTCTTGCTCTGTCCCTCTCTGGTCAAATTTAAATAAATAAATAAATAAAGTTAAATATAATAATTCTTTTTTTTAAAAAAATTGCAGATTAAATAAGGCTAGAGAGACATGACAGCTTAACACAACACCTGACTCTGAATTGGAACTTTTTGTTACAAAAGTACTGTTGGCATAATTTGCACAACTTGGATGGTGTCAGAGATTATGCTGGAAGTAAGATGATGTTAATTTTCCAGTTTCAGGGGAGAAGTAGGAAAATGTCTTTATTTTTACCAGATACTCTCCTAAGTATCAGGACAATGGAGCACTGTGTTAAGTTTCTCTCACATGTGTCAGGGGGAAATAATATTCTATGTACTTGCAACTTTGTTCAAAGTTTAAGATGGTTGTCGAATTTATAAAAATATATTTATTTATTTATTTTAATTGGACCAGAGAGGGACAGAGCAAGAGAGAGAGAGAGAGAGAGGGAAAGTGAGAAAGCTGCCAGGTCCAGGACTTGAACCCCTGTTGGTCATGTGGGAGTCCAGCACCTTAACCACCATGCCACCTGCCGGCCCCAAAAATAATATTTTTTGAACCACCATGGTCTCCTGCATCTGTCTCACATTGTTTCTTTTCCAGAAAGTAAGTTTCTTCTAGGCAGTAAATGGAGACCCGAGTTCAAATCCCAGACCTACCATTTATTAGGTTTGTGATACCTAAGACTTCACTTTCCTAAGCCCCTGCTGCTTATATCCATGAAACTGGGTTTACCTCAGTTTTTACCTCAGTATTTACCTCAGTTTTTACCTCAGTTTTTCGGACTTGGGAAGCATTCTTTTTTGTTTGTTTTTACTGGGGATAAAATGAGGTCATGCATGTAGCATTTTGCACCTTGCTTTGCTATGGGGTAGGTAGGTGCTAAGGGTACCTATAGGAAAAGTGTAGCAAACCTGTGTTTCCTTCCGTGGCCTTCCTCTTCAGTGCAGTGGGTGGTCCCATGATATCTCAGTCTCTTTGAGGAAGATCCTGGAAGAGAAGAGGAGGTGGCTGTCCCAGGAGGACAGGTAGATATGGATGGTTTCAGGGTCGGCAGGTGGCGTGGTGGTTGAGGGTGCCGGACTCCCACATGACCGATCACAGTTTGAGTCCCAGACCTGGCGGTTCTCTCTCTCTCCCTCTCTCTCTCTCTCTCTCTCTCTCTCTTTCTCTGTCCCTCTCTGACCAAATTAAAATAAATAAATAAAGTTAAATAAAAATAATTCTTAAAGAAAAAAAAAGAATGTAGATGCTTTCAAGTGTCATTTTCAGTGTCTCACATAGGCCTCCCAATCCCGTGCAAGTGTGGCTCTGTCCACTTTACCGAGTACCACTGAGGTGCAACGGTGAGTGCCTCCTTCAAGCTCTCACAGTTGCTGAGTGGCAGAGCTGGGAGTCCTCTGCAGGAATGACCTCGTCGTTCTCTTTCCACTGTGTCATGCTGCCTCCTGGAGGCCACAGTGGGCAAGGCTAGCAAAAGTGGAGGTTGGAACAGGAGGGCACATGAAGGGCCAACTGGTGAGAGTACACAGTAGGCCGCAATTGAGTTGTTTTAAAAGAATGAACACCGCAGCAGGTTCCCAGAGGGAAACAGTGCATCTGGCTGTGGGTTCAGAGGAGGGAGGCCCAGGCACAGGGAGGGGTCAGCGCTGAGGCTGCAGTCACAGGGTGGCACCTCTGCAACTCTGCCGCAGCCACCCCATGCTCTGCACCCACACAAACTTCCCCTCGGCTCCCCTGTAGCACACTGCACTCTATTTTTTTGGAGAGGTTTTTGCTATAGGGCGCATGCGCTTGCCAGGCAGAGAGAAACAGAGAGACAGAAAGCAGGAAATCACCCCCCAGGGGGGATGGCCACGCTGCAATCCCTTCTCCTCCATTCTCCTCTCGGGATCTTGGGCACGCACGCACACGCGCCCGGCGTGAGTTTAAACCACCAGGTCCAGGACTCAAACCGCGGTTGACTACGTGGGAGTCCAGCGACATAGCCATTACGCTAACTGCTGGTCCCTAGCATGCTGTATTCTTAAACCCAGGAAGTCACTGCTCTGGTTCTAGAATGCCCATCCTTACCAGAGACGTGGCCCAAAATACCTGCTCCTCCTCCCAGAACAGTCCCTCCCACCCACCAAGCCTTTGTCATCTCCTGGCCATGTCTCTACGGCAGCGTGTACTGTTACTCCGAGACTGTCTATACCAGCTTGCTCCTCCCGGCTCCCACCACCAGTTCTACTCCTGCACCTGAAAGAGTCCTAGGAGATGGACTTGTGTCTTAGTCATCTCTGTACCCTCAGGGCCTACAGACCAGTGATGCAGCCTGTAAATTGCGTTACCAAGGCTAATCAAAGTTTCTACTGTAGGGCCAGCAGTTGGCATGGTGGTTAAGGCACTGACTCCCACATGGCCAACTGCATGGTTCAAGTCCCAGACCCAGGGACTTGAAAAACACAGACTGTGGATGACTGCATGCCCAAAATCCTGAGAAGAGAATGGAGGGAAAGGATTGCACTGTGGCCATCCTCCCTAGAGGTTGATTTCTTACTCTCGCTCGCTCTCTTGTGCTCTCACTCTGGCAATGCATGCAACTATAGCAAAAAAAAAAAAAAAAGTGTCTACTATACCTAAGAAGCAAGAGCTCAAGAAATAAGATTCTGGCAGTCAGACTACTATGAGGACATCACTTCGTGGGGCCTCCTCATCCTCAGCCCTGGGTGTGTCGGACGGACATGGATACTTGCACTTTCATCCTGAAGTGCTTTCCCGGGCTGTGCTCAACCGAGAGACTCCAGGGTATGGGCTGCCCCCTTCCTGCCCTGGGCTACGAGGCCAGCCCACTCCAGCCTACTCCCGCCTGCGGCCCATTCAGCTCTGTGCTCTGGCTGCAAGTGTTACTTCCATTCTCCTCTGCTCAGGCAGGCTCTGGGGTTTGGGTATTAGTAACTCCCAAATATGTGCTTTATTACTTGTTGAGCACTAACCCTGCACAGCACCCCAAGTGGGAATTAGAGCAACAGTGCACTAACTGCTCTGGGATGGTGGAGCGTTTTCATTTTGTCCTGCATTCCTCCAGCTTTCTGGCAGAGGGGCCTGTGCTGACCTCCCCACGCTGGGACAGATTTCCTTGCTGGGTAAGTCGATGGGAAAATTCCTCTTCCCTGGGATGGGAATGTGACCTCGTGACTGGGCGTCCATTACAGCCAGGGGGTGCGGGTGCACCTGCAGGGTCTCCCTCCCTCACAGAGGGACTAGAATCCCGCCTCTGCAAATCCACCCTCCTCAGGCTCTGCAGAACATCTGGGCTTGCTCCTACTGGTCACTGGCGACGCAAGGGCCACACACCTGCACGTGATTAGGACTCAGCAGACGCCCACGGCCCTACAGTCAGCGGCTACACACTGGTGACACGTCGCAGAGGACAAGTTTCTCCCAGATCCTTGTTCCTTCCAATCAGATGGGTGCAGGGCTGTGAGGTCATGGGGCACAGTGCACCCATACCACACCAAACACCACCCTCGGCGGAGAGCAGGGGAGGCCCCTCAGCCTCGACGTGCCTGGAAAGAGCAGGTGTCAGGGCAGACCCAGGACACCCTAGGACCAGGGAGGAAGCAGAGACATCAGACTTGGCCTCCTTTGCAACTGTCACTGCAGGTCCTTTTAGACTCCTCTTCTGAGTGTTTGAGAAATAGTAAAATCTCAAATGCCACTGCTGACTCTTCTTTCTCCCGCAAACACCCCTTCTCTGCTGAATGTGCAATCCTCTGACCACAGAAGGCTGGGGTAGGTCAGGTAGAGCTGAAACATTGCCCGAGCACCGTTACGATCAGGGCATGACCAGAACTGACGCTGTCCAAGGGCAGAGTCGTCAAGGTTATACGTTCATTGTACCTGCCTAGTGAATTGGCTGGAAGGAAATGCGATTTTCCTCCTCGTGAAAGAGACTTTTATTTAGTAGTAATAAAATTAATGCACTAAAAGAGAGCAGGCTTTCTTGACCTTTCACCAGACAGAAGAACTCACATGACAGCCACAACTTGCATTAACATACGAGATGATCCTCAAAAAGCTCATGGAAAAATGCGTATTATGAAAACTCGACGCACAGATGTCAGAGGAAACTGGTATTGTTAGGACCAGCAGATGGTGTAATGGTTATGTTGCTGCATTCCCACGTGGCCGGCTGCAGTTCAAGTCCTGGACCTGGAAGCTTGAAACTCAAGCCAGACGTGCATGTGTGCCCAAAATCCCAAGAGGAGAATGAAGGAGAAGGAATTGTGTGGTCATCCCCCCTGCGGTGTGATTTCTCACTTTCTCTCCCTCTCTTTCTGTCTCTCCACATGTGCCCTAGAGCAAAAAAATCTCTTAAAAAAAAAAAAAGTAAATTCACATTGTATTTCCCTTTTCCACAAACTTTTTAAAGTCCCCTTGTACTGCGCGGATGTTGGACTCCGAGTGGACATGTGTGCCCGACAAAAAGGCTGGTACCGGGAACCAGCAGTTGGCGTAATGGCTATGTCGCTGGACTCCCACGTAGTCGACCGCGGTTCGTGTCCCGGACCCGGTGGCTTAAAACTCACGGCGGGCGCGTGTGCGTGCGTGCCCAAGATCCCGAAAGGAGAATGGAGGAGAAGGAAATAATTAAATAAATAAATAAATAAATAAATAAATAAAAGGGCTGGTGCCTTGGGCAGACACCACATCCCAAAAGAGGTCATCCTGGAAGCACGTCGTGAATGAGTGCAAGTCCCCGTCATCTTCCCGCAGCGGTTGACCTCACTGACCCTGTCCCAGAAGCGCTAAAGGAACAGAGGAAAGAGCTTTCACCTTCATCTGTAGAAAAAGTAGGTGTGAGAGCTGGGATCACCGTAGAGTGCTGCGGGTTTGGGCCTGCCTGCCCCGTCTGGGAGAGATGGCCATGTTGCTGAGCGTGGGGTAAAGACTCATCCCCAAGGGACCAGCAGTGAGCATAATGGCTATGTCGCTGAACTCCCATGTAACTAACCGCAGTTCAAGTCCCGGACCTGATGGCTTAAACTCACGCCCGGTGCGTGTGCGTGCGTGCCCAAAATCCCGAGAGGAGAATGGAGGAAAAGGGATTGCGGGGTGACCATCCCCCCTGGGGGGTGATTTCTTACTTTCTCTCTGTTTGTCTCTCTCTGTCTTTCTGGCGAGTGCACGTGCCCTATAGCAAAAAAAAAAAAAAAAAAAAAAAAAGACTCATCCCCAAGAGTCCTAGTGAAAGTGACATGCTGAGCTTGCTGCAGGAGCTTACTGCTTGCCCTGGGGTATGTAATCAGCCTTGCAGAGGAAGCTGTCGCAGTTGAACCCTACACCTGGGGACTTGGGAAGCCCAGCCTCTAGGGTAAGAGCAAGATAGATCCTGCCACCTCCTGAAGTGTACAAAAACAAAACCTTTCCAGTTCAACTGTGCTTGGGATGACAGTGCAGTCACACTTTACAAATGAGAATGTTCATTTCCCAAAGAGACCATGTTTTCCACCAAGTTCGGCCTCTTTTCGCTTGAACCCAGGCTTGATTTTTCAGAGCCCCAGGATGCAGTGGCCCCGTGCCTGAGGCCCCCAACCTCCCCACTCCACACTGGAGAGCCCGGGTGTTCAGGGAAGGACCGTGTAGCTCCCTCTGCACACACACACTTCTTAAGGCGGCCATTCCTAATGCCTGCAGGAGTGAACCCTGCTCCCCGCTGCTGGGTAGTGGGACTAGATTAACACAGCAAGGCTGAATGACAAAAGCAGAAACGTGCTTCTCTAGAGACCAGTCAGAAACACTTTCATGAATAAAATATTTAATCGACTTATCTGTACAAAATATTAAAATGGTTAATGAAGAGTATACAAGCATGTTTAACAAATATATACTGCTATAGAATAATCAAGAATAGAGACTGCTGTTTTACAGGTCATTTACATTTCCATATATACAATCTATTTAAGACTCGAGAATACATATGCACGTGGGTCTCTGCCTGCCCCTGGAGGGGTCCCTGCCGGCTGGCCTGGGCATGGGCAGCATTTCCTGACATCAGCTCGGGCTGCCCAGTGGCCACGCTGGGCAGTAGGGAGACAGACCAACCTACAACCCACAAGCCTTGGAGTTAACGTTCTGGCCACCCCAGCGCTGGAAGATTGCCGACAAAGGAGATTTCAGTTTGTGTTAAATGAATTTGTAAAATCTTGCCCCTCCCCCACCTCCTTACTCCCAAGCCGAGAAACAGTGGGTGTCACTACGAAATGAAAGGGGCTTCTACCCCCTAAAAATAATTAATTTTGTCTTTAGCTGCTGAGGGAATGGCGCGCTATTGAACCTTGATGGCATTCCCGTCACTTTGAGTCTTGCCCTTTCCTTAAACATCACGGTGTTGGAATCAGATTAAATTTGCTTTCTAAGCTTCAGGCCACTAACCACGTAGGGCGTCCTGCTCCCCACCTAGGGCCTGCTTATAAACAGCATCTCTGTAAGCTGGCAAGAAGTTCTGCCGTGACCTTCATGGGGAAAGGATCTGCTCCTTTATATACAAAAGGGAAAGGGGGGGGGGAAGCACTTTTTCCAAACTTTTCAGAACCCCCTGCCGAAAGGGCACGTTGCAGTCTGCATTGTAATCCTTGTAAAAAATGCATTAACTTTTCATTTGGGGTGAAATACTTCCAGCTAAAAGACCTAGTGGCTCCATTATGATTCTTCCTCACAGAAGGAATAAAAGCAGTTTGCACTGCAGTATAAGGGGAAATGCAAAAGCGAAATTACGCTGAGGATGCTTGTGTTTAATCGTGATGTCTCCACGGCGGAGAACGCCAGATTCCCCTCTCAAGGGTCTCTGTTCCTGGCTTAGAACTCTTGAGTATTTCCCAGCTAGAAAACATGACTCATCCTGAGCTTCCTTCCTCTTTGAAGAGAATCGTCATCTTTTAAAAAACAGAACGTTGAATGGCTGATGTTTCTGCTAGATCCTGACCCAAACATATTGGGTCGTTGCAAAAGTCATGACACATTTTGCATAGAAAGAAAGTCATGACTTTTCTGATGACCCAATGTACGTCAAAAGGAAACAAGCCTTGCTGTGGTGCCCTGCTTCCTCAAGCCAACTGCTCACCTCCAGCCAAGCTGCTGCCGCCCCAAGCCGTGGGAAAAACAAAGACACGGCACATTTGCCGACTTTGGGGTCCTCAGTCACACCAAGATAAAAGATGCAGGCGAGGGAAAGCCCTCCACACACCGTGGCTGTTTCAGGCCCACTCCCCTGAAAACCCCGGGTGAGAGGTCTGAGAGAAGCCTGGCTCCTCCGCAAGACCCATGAGTCCTGTGAAATGGGGACAAGTTGTGTGCAGGGCCACT